CTTTACACAATTGATGTGTGTATGGATTGGGATAACAGTTGTATGAGCCCCTAATAAAATGTTAAAAAAAAAAAATAGGCAGCCTGGCGCCGCCAAGTTACTAATTTTGGTCATTGCACAGGGCTTTAGGCATCAAGCCCAAACCGTCAGTAAGTCTTACCGGATGAAAGAGTGAATAGGCAGAGCAGCAGGACATCACAGAAATGAGTCTACTGTACAGTGTGCTTTCGTTGCCTTTATTTTTGTATTTAAATATGTTTCCTATTAGATTGAGCCTTTTCAAAATGTATAAACAAAAGAGTATCATCATTCTTGATTTCTTTTTTTTAATTCATTTTATTAGTGGCTCATACAACTCTTATCACAATCCACACATACATCAAATTGCATAAAGCACATGTGTGTACATTCATTGCCCTCATCATTCTCCAAGCATTTGCTCTCCACCTAAGCCCCTGGCATCAGCTCCTCATTTTTCCCCTCCCTCCCCGCTCCTCCCTCATGAACCCTTAAACAATTTATAAATTATTATTTTGTCATATCATTCTTAATTTCTTATAGTAGTGGGTTGTAAAGAATGATTGAAGCTGTTTGTGCCATACAAACAATTATTCTTTATGACTATGAAGCATGTTAGATATTTCCTAAATTTTATTATTATTTTAAAGATGAAAATAAAATGCTTGTCAGATATTTGAGGTTACTGTTTATGAAAAATGGCTAAACTCTGCGCGCCCAGGAATGGCAGAGGGCAAGAAGCATGAGTATTAGGAACTACTGGACGTTACAATGGCGTAGATCCCCGCATAGGATTCTGGGAGTTGTAGTCCTGGAGTTCGGAGCTCTTGACAGTTTTACATTTTTATTTCACTTTTGATTTCATTGAGTGGATTTGTGCTGAGAGTTCACAATCGAAGGTTTAGCTTCCGAGCGTTTCTGGGAAGGGAGGGCCGGGCTCCCCATGTTCCCCTGGGGGCTTCTGGGAAATGTAGTTCCCGTCTGTGGAGGCGTCACTTCCGGTCGCAGAGCCAGGGCGCGTTAGAGTTCCGGTCTGGTAGGTGAGTGATCTCCGCGCTTGCCGCACCCTCGCGCGTCTCGTGGCTCGTGGCCGTGGCTGAGCCTGGCACTGGCCGCGTGGGGTGTCGCTAGTGGAACAGAGAGAAGGGCGGCCACCAGCGCAACCCGAGGGACGGAGGACGGCAGTTTGCACCCCTCCTCTCCTCCCACACCGACCCAGCACCTTAGAACAGGTGTGACCCATCCTAATGGTCGTTTTTGGGGGCTGTTTCCACAGTTCTTCCCTCCTAAGCGTCCTTCTCCCTGGAAGCACCTGCGGGCGGAGGTCAGGTCAGGGCCGAACCCTTCAGGACTTTCAATGAGCCTGGTTTTGGAAGGACAGGGTCCCTTGGGCTAGTGCAGGGGGATATCCACTAAAGCCAAGCAGCCTTGTTCCAAGCCTGTGATCTTAATCCCTGTGCCTGTAAGACCCGTAGGTAAAATCCAGACTTAAAAATGGTGCGTGCGAGAGTGGGAGTCCACTCACGAATATCCATAGCTTTGACAGAAGATAGAAACCTTCTCTGCAAGTATGCCGGTGAACGTGGCGGAGCATAAAACAGACTCCCTGCCAATGAGTCACTTCGGACTCCCAGTCACCTTATAGGCCATGGAGAACTGCCCCCTGTGGGTTTCTGGGAACACTTTACAGGAGTAGACATTTCCCCTCATCTTTTTCCATTGTAGCTGCTGTTGGTTTCAAAGTGCTAAATTAATACCTAGCAGCCGAGTACATGCCATAGTGCCACCAGGGCCCCTTGGTAGATCTCACGGGGAGCAGATTTATGAAAACTTCTCAGACAGAAGGAAACCACCTTGAGGTAATGGGTCACCGATCTTCAGCCTCAGGACCATGGTTTAGGGGACACCAAAGTCAGCAACAGTCCACAAAGACAAGGGTCTACATCCTACTGTGCTGAGTGGCAGCTGGGGTTGGAAAAGCTTGTGGACAAAGATCTGAGGTGCATCTTTGGGTCTCTCCCCATCTGGAGAAAAGAAGGGTGATGAAAATCAAAGACACATAGAAACAATGAGTCCAGTGGATGGATGGACACTTGAATGCCAGTCACCACCACCCTGAGACCAGAAGAACTAGATGGTGCCCGGCTACCACTACCAACTACTCTGAAAGAAGGCCCTGGTTAGGCTGAGGGGAACATGTGGACCACTACTCAAAATCGTATTAAAGACCAGGCTTACTGGTCAGAGAGATGGGTGGAACCCCCGAGATGATGACTTTTAGTCAGCCTTGAGGTCTGCATATGAACTCAACACTTTGTTTCCATTTTCAGCCAAAGAATAGGTCCATCCTGGGGAAGACCAGTAACACAGAGAGGTAAGCACCCCTTAGAATTTCCAACCTTTTGAGCTTGCACATGGTAACATTTACCTGCTGACAAAGTTCAGAAGGGTTAAGAGAGGTGAAGGAAAACACAAAGAGGAAGTGGGAGACAGGATGTGACAGTGTGGGGACTGTAATCAAAACTTGCAGCTGGTACCAAGAGTGGTGTACTATTGGTTGTTGGACAAAGGAGATTTTGCTACATTGACACCCTATACACAGTATTAAGATGCTTACTATCCCAGGAATCCTATGATGGCCATTCTGTTATATTTTATATATTTACTTCTATATTTATATGTATATATTTATGCTTGTGTATAATAGGATGTATCTCACAGGTGTACCGCCATTGGGGTGGCCCTCTTGAAGCAGTGTTACTTATTTCTCTGTTTTTCAGTAAATGAAACCCAGAGACATTGAGCCTACAGCCAAATAAATAATACATACATAACAAGGATTTGGGAAGAGTGGCAAGAAGGAGATGTGGGGGAGATAAGAGGGAAATGATGTCAAGTCCATGAAGGAAAAGTATGTCTGTAGACTGATTATGGAAGAAGTTGTACAATTATGTTTGCCATGATTGAACTATAGAATGATGTGACATGTATCAATTTCCAAGTTACAGCAAATTGGGGGGAGAGAAAAAAAGCATAGATCCAGGCATGAATGCTGGACTTACACTAAATCCTAGCTCCTAGTCAGACGGAGCCCCTGGCAGGTCCACTCTGGTCAAAGGCAAGAGTCCCAAACAGCCTTACTGTCAGGCAGAGACTAGTATCATCCTGATTATGCAGGATGGAACCCAGAGCCAGGCCAGTTGTCCTCCATATAGACGTGACCTGAATTAGTCCTGGGTCCACATAGCTCTTGGATGTCCCAATGACAGAAATTTCTTTCCTGGCTTTTTGAACGTCGATGGGGGTCTTCTCCCTCTGACGCATCATTTGTCTGTTTGCCTTTATACTAATATGATCTTCTCCGTACCACCTCAGTGCGATCTGTCTTGCACTGTTTTCTGTTGGGTTTCCCACCTGTGAAGCACAGGAGGAATGGATGTATGATGGTAATAACTGATACAAGGAGTTGTAGGGAATGCAGGAGTGGAGGATGGGCGGTGGGGAGGGAAGGGGGATTTGGGGGGTGAACAGTGAGGATGGGAGGGGGGCGGGAGCACTAGAACTGCTAGTGATTGCACAGCTCAGTTGGAAGGCTATGTGACCATGCGGTGGGGGGTTGGGGGGAGAGGTTTTAAGATACATGTGGTGGTGATTTTACAACTCCCTTGATGTGATTGAATGATCAAACTTCAGTTGTATGATATGTGAATGATGTGCCAATAAAACCGTTGAGAGGGGAAAAAAAAAGACATGGAGTTTACACCATAAACTCAGCTGTCTGCAGATTCCGTGCTCAGAATGTAAGCTCTAATACACACTCTCAAGGAAAATGTCCCTGCCAGAAATTAAGTATACACTAACCAAAGGGACAACATTCGCCCGCAAGCTAAGATGAGGAGGCAAGGAAGGACAGGCAAACCAGAAGGATGGGAGCTGGAGGGATGGGCTTTGGGAAGACAGGGTGGAAAGGTGGGCAGGGATAACACAATGCAGGGGAGGGAGGTTGGCCACCAAGCCCCCACCCCAAACAATTTGTGTATAAAAACATTTTTTTTAAAGACATGCAGCTGAAACCACTCAGAGGAAGGAGCCAACCCCTCGGCTGATTGACAGTCAGTGTCCGTGAAGGGGAGCAGGATCCTCGGCCGCCTTTTCACGTCTGTCTCCTCCCTCCCTAGTTCGGCCCAGGCTTCCTCACATTTCAAGACAGTTCAGCACCAGAAGCAGGAAGCAGAATGAGAGCGTCCATGGTGAGTGGGGCAGACATTGGTCGACCTGGTTTGTGGGGGGTGCACATTTGTATGTTTTCTGGCTCACTTTGGCTTGGCTTGGCTTGGAATTTTTATATTTTGTCTTTATCCTTCATTTTTCTCTCGAGAATAAGACTAAAGGAAAGCTTGGGAATGAGTGGTTCTCCCATCGACCACTTCCTTATTCAACAGTTACGTCTTTTGATTTCTGTTTTGACCAGTTCCATGTTTTTGACATATGCTTTTCCACGTGTACTTTTTTTTCATTGCAAATATATTTATTACTCCACGTGTACCTTTATAGAGTTTTGTAGTCAGTATCTATCTGAAGTTTTCCATTTCTCATTCACTGGTGTGAAACGTGTGTGTGTAAAAAAAAGAAATTCTGTGTGTGTGTGTGTGTGTGTGTGTGTGTGTGTTTCTACTTCATTGTCCATTTAGCCTGCAAATTTTAACTACTGCAACTCTTAGACATACCCTTGAAGCACTTGGCTGATGAAGATCAAGAATTGCTGCCTTCATATGAATTATAACTTTTTCAAGAAACCCAAGAGTCCACAATTGGATCAATAGGTATTATCATGATACATTGAGAAAAGATTGAAGTTGTCAACCATTTCACCTACTTGGATCCACAATCATTGCTCCTGGAAGCAGCAGTCAGGTGATTAGATTGCACTGGGTAGATCTGCTGCACAAGACTCTTTAAAGTGCTGAAAAGCAAGGATATTACTTTGAGGACTCAGGTGTGCCTGCCTCAAACCCTGGTATTTTCACGTGTCTCCTATGCATGTGAAAGGTGGACCTTGAATCAGGAAGGCTGAATCCAGTGTATTTGGATTATGGTCCTGGCAAAGAACCCTGACTGTAGCGGGGACTGCTAATAGAACAGACAAACTTGGCTTGGAAGAAGTCCACCCAGAAAGCTCCTGGGAGGTAAAGATAGAGAGACTTCATCCTTACATACTCTGGACAGGTTATCAGGAGAGACTGGTCCCTGAAAAAGGACGTCAAGCTTGGTAGAGGAGAGAGGCAGCAAAGAGAGGAACCTTCCACCAGCTGGATCGACACGGTGGCTACCACCGTGGGCTCAGTTGTAGCACCTATTCTGAGGGTGGCCCAGGCCCAGGCAGGGGTTCATTCTGTTGTACCTTCGGTCATTACATGTCAGAACTGACTCAGCGGCACCTGACAACAACCACAACCACACTCTTATTACGACATTAAAGAACCTTACGAATTTTACTCATTTTAAATGTCTTAATGTGTTTTTAATGAAAGTTTCCACAGCAAATTAGGTTCCATTCAGTCATCTCTACACACCTTTTTGGTGAAATTGTCACCATTCCCCCTCCTTTCTTAACCCTTCTGAACTTTGTCCTGGGGTAAACATTACTCTTTTGTAAAGAATGTTTATTAATCAATTACTCAGTACACCCACACCCACCCCCGCCGCTGTTAATGAGTGATATGTGTGTGTGTCCTGTGTATACATATATGAGGGCGATGTTTGTGGAAAAATTCCATTACGTTTTAATTCCATTTTCTATGAACTCTTCAACGCTCCTTCTTGTAAATGTGTATATTCTCTTGTTTGTGTTGGAAAGAAGCTCGTATTGAGCAAAGCACTGAACCATTATACAAAACGGAAACTGAAATGTGTAGGGAACTCATGCAAGTCGCCTGGCAAAGAAGGGACACACCATTGGAGCAAGCGCCAAGGCATGGCAGTGGCAACTCAGTGCATTCAACGTTGGACTTCATAGGCGTGGCATGTGCCCTGAGAGCGGAGACAACGTACTACAGAGCTGTCTGAGACAGGCATCCAAGAGCTTGTTACTCTTACAGATAATTAAAAAAGGTCAAACCAGAATCAATGTGTGTGGTTGGAGGATGGTCTGTGTTATAAAATTTTACTAAAAACAGAGTGAGCCATCTTTTTGAGATGGCAGGTTTGGAGGGGTAAGATAATATGTATCAAAACATAAAACATGCATATCCCAGCATGCAACATTCTTCAGTTGTAGACGTTTACTCTGAGGACATGCAATAAGAATATAAGGGCTATCATTTTGGGCATGTGTTGGGTGAAGCTAATGGATGAGTTTGTGGGATTGGCAAGATAGAAAGAGAAGGGCAGGGATTCTACATATTGACCTGTGGTCCTCAAAATCTGGGACAAATAACCTCCATCCTGGTCATATGGACAATGGTCTTAAGACAGAGTGTACTTGTGCTTGATCTTATAGGAGGCACTGGGATTCAAGGACGTGGCCGTGGTCTTCTCTGAGGAGGAGCTGGAGCTACTGGACCCTGCCCAGAAGAAGCTGCACCGAGATGTGATGGTGGAGAACTTCAGGAACGTGGTCTCCCTGGGTGAGGACAGGCTTTGTCTGGAGTGTGTTTATCGCCTCAGATTTTCAAGGTTTCACATGGTCTTGGAAGGGTCCCCTGATTGGGGGGGACAGGATTCTACTACCCATAACTTGTTTAATGAAATAAAACAGAGTAGAAAAGGACAGAGTGGCACAGAAGTTGGCCAAACTATGTTTTCGTTACAGAGAGTGGCGCGTATAAATCTGGTTCTTGAAATAAGTAGCTCTACTAGCCCTGCTCTCTTCCTAAGCTCTGGTTGGCCTTGAACGGCCAACGTGGTTCCTGGGGAATGTAAATCCAGTTGAGCCATTCCTCCACTCAAAACCCTTGATCGCTTGTTTCGTAGAGTGGCAACTTCTTTGCGAGGCTCATAGCCACCTACATCATCTGACCTTCATGCCTGACTTCTCTAGTGTACGCTCCTGTCCCCTCTTGTTGAGCGTGTTCCTGCCTCTCTGTCCTGGTTCCTCAGATGTTCCCTTCGTCTTGTATTCCAGATAGCAAACGAGCCCCACACCTGATGGCGTCAGCTACCACCACCGACCATCTTAAACTCTGTCTTCAACCCTTTTACTTGCTCTCTCTCATAGGAAACTTTCTTTCATTGAAATTCTTCCCTGGCCCCCTTTCTGCTTTCATGTCCATCTCAGTTCTAAGGTCGCAAGAGGAGACTTCTCGATCTACCCTCTTTAAATCACCACCCTGTCTGTATCCTTTATCCTTTATCCTCTTGTTGTGTCCAGGACGGAATGAAAGACTTGTTCCTGGTTGGTTGATTGGCGTCTCCTGGGGACCTAGAAAGATTCCCAAAGATGCCAGTTATCGGTGCTGCTTTTTCACGAGTCGTGGAGATACCTAATAGGTCATGTTCAAAATGGAGTGCCCAAGGTTGTTTTAGAGCAGTGATTCTCAACCTTCCTCATGCTGCAACCCTTTCATACAGTTCCTCGTGTGGTGGTGACCCCCAACCATAAAATTATTTTCGTTGCTACTTCATCACTGTCATTTTGCTACTGTGATGAATCGGGCGACCCCCGTGAAAAGGTCAGTCGACCCCCAAAGGGTCGCAACCCACAAGTTGAGAACCGCTGTTTTAGAGCGATTTGAGTCTTCTGATAAGCACCTAACCAAGGTCTACTTTCTGAGGTGTCTTGGTGGAGAGTACACGTTTACATGTGTGCAGCTGAAATCAGGACCATCACCACCACATAGCTCAACACACACAGACTGCCCGGACCTCAAAGTGCTAAATACGACTACTCATTCCCAAATATCCCTCTAACGTGTCCTCATTATTCATTCCATATATGGCTCAACGATTTCCTAGCTGAACTTACTACGTGAAAGAAACTCTCTTAACCGAAAGAATTCTTCACCGGAGGGTGCCTTCAGTCATCTGTACCCAGGGCTGTGGTGTGAGAAGCCAGACCTTCGTCCTTCCTCCTTTCCGAATCCAGGGAGGGGCAAGAAAAGGACGCAATAAGAGATCACATCTTGAAAACCGTAACGTTTTGGATCTTAAACTTTTTTTTTCACTGTAGACATCTCCTATAAATAATTGGTAGTTCGACTCACATTAAATAAGCCTTATACACACAGACAGTATGTGCCCAAGAGCCCTGGTGGTGCAGTGGTTAAGCATTGGCTATTAACTGAAAGAAAGCCTGGCTCCTAGAGTGAGCCCTCAGGCCAATCCTTGGGAAGCGGGTGTATCCTTTAAAATGGTAGCCTTGGAAACCCAGTGGAGCAGTTCTGCTTGATCCTGTAGGGTCACTGCGTCATCGATAGCACACGAGTAAAATTTTGCTGAAGATCGTTTAAAACATGGTTGCAGAAGTCTTTCCACGGGTGATTTCCAGAAGTTCAAGCTGGATATAGAAGAGGATGTGGAAGAAGGACTATTTCTGCTGTAACCGGATGGATGTTCGCTGAAAGCAGAGAGCACCAGAGAGAGGTTTACCAATTCACAGCCATTCAACTCTGGACCAGAGCAAATTATGGATAACGTAGTGCAGGTTGAGAATTTCAGAACAATCAGTTGTGTTCATGTGAAACCTGTACAGAGGCCAAGAAAGAGTTGTTTGAACAGAACCAGGGGCTGTTGCACGGATTAAAACCTGGAAGGTTGTGTCAGGGTTGTATCCTTTAGCCATACTTTCTCAGTCCATATGCAGAGCAAATGACCTGAAAAGGTGGAGTGCTGCCTCGGGATTGGAGGAAGACTCATCAACCACCGCAATATGCAGATGACACAACCTTACTGGCTGAAAGCGAAGTGAACATGGAGTACGTACTGATGAAGATGAAAGACTAGACTAAAGGCATAAGTGATGGGGGGCGGGGGGCACTGGAGCACTCCGTGTACTTGTAGGATGCTTGCCTTTCAGACACGATTGCTGAAGACTAAAAGGGTGTTTTTGTTGTTGGGTAAGTGGGACCCAGGATAGGTAACCCTGAAAGATACGGGGAGTGGACCGATGGTTTGTAACATGTTCTTCTCCCTCCTTAACATAGAGGTATTCATCTGCTCTGTGTCATGATTCCTGTTAGACTTGTGACTACCTGCATGGTTTTTTTTTGGTGTTTATCTATACAAGATATTCAGGCTTCGACCAATGGTTCTTAGGGGACATGAAAGGGGAGGAGGTGGAGAGCGGAGCAGGGAGCCAATCATGACGGGTACAAGAGAACAGTAAGTGTTCTAAAATTGACGGTGAAGAGTATGTAGCTTTTCCTGTCATGTTTGAACAGTTGAATCGTATCTGAGTGGAATTACTGAAAGGTGAACGCTGGGTAAATAACAATGGGGGAAATGGAAATATATAAATATGCATATGTGTATTTGTTTCTATATATATGTATATACACATATGTAACAAGGAATCAGATGGACTTTGGGGCTCTACCTAAATCTTACCCCAGTACAAGAAGTTTGTTCTAATAATGTGGCATTGTATGATATTCACCTTCCTGGCCCAATTTCTTAAGACAAAATGGGTGCATAAGCAAATGTGGTGAAGAAAGGGTAATGGTGCCTGGCTATCAAAAGATGTAGCATTAGGGCAGCAGTTCTCAACCTGTGGGTCACAATCCCTTTGGGGGTTGAACAACCCTTTCACAGAGGTCGCCCAATGCACAACTAGCAATGAAAATAATTTTATGGTTGGAGGGGTCACCACAACATAAGGAACTGTATTAAAGGGTCGCAGCATTAGGAAGGTGGAGAACCATTGATCTAGGGTCCTAAAGGCTTGTAAGTAAACAAGCAGCCATCCAGCAGGGAAGCAACAAAGTCCACATGGAAGAAGCACACCAGCCTCTGTGATCATGAAGTGTTGATGGGAAGAGGTGTCAGAAGTTCAAAAACACTCAACCAACTCGATGTGAAGGGGCCTGGATGCAATGGAGACCGAAGTCCACCTGCAGGATGATTGCGCAGTCCCTCTTAGAAGGGCCACATGGAATGGATGATAGAGACAGAGTGTGCCGTATGGCACTGATGAACGAAATAACTATCTTGTAGTTCGTTAATTTTTCTTCCCCTTACTAGTAAGGTTTTTGTGTTTTTACCTCATTGACCACATTAGATTTTCTTATGTTCGTTTGTATATTTAGGATCGCTCCGTACATGAAGGTCAAAGTGGATAACCCCTCAGACAGTGACAGGTGGTGGTTACCTGAGGATCCAGAGGGAAGGAGAGGGGAAAGGAGAGGAAAAGGAGCTGATAACACTGATAATTGTAGAACCCCACCCGATGGGACTGAACAACAGAATTGTATGTGAATGGATATATTGGAATGTGTAAAATATGCCAATAAAACTATTATTATTTTTTAAAAATGATAAACTACAGCCTCAACATGAACAAACGAAAATCCTCATCACTGGCCAACATCATGACAAATAGAGAAAAGATGGAAATTGTCAAGGATTTAATTTTATTTGGATCCACAATCAATACCTGTGGAAACAGAAGTGAAGAAATGAAACAATATAGTGTATTGGGAAAATCTGCTGCAAACGATCTCTTTAAAGTGTTCCAAAGTAAAGATGAGACTTTTGAGGACTAAGGTACGGCTGACTTAGCCATGGCATTTTGGGTCACCTCCTTTGCCTGTGAAAGCTGGACCATGAATAAGGGAAGAGCAAGGAGAGCTGCTGTCCTTGAATTATGGCGCTTGGGAAGAATATTGACTCTACCTTGGATGGCCAGAAGAATGATCAAATCTGCCCTGGGAGAAGTCCAGCCAGAATTCTCCTTAGAAGCTGGAACGGGGAGACTTCGTCTCAAGTACTTTGGGCATGTTATTAAGTGGTACCAGCATTGCTGGGGAAAGTAGAGGGTCATTGAAAAAGAGGAGCCCTCTCCACCAGATGGATTGACACCGTGCCTGCAACCATGTGCTTGAACATAGGATGATGGTGAGGATGAGGTAGACCTTCTGTCAAGCAGAATTGCTGTGAGCTGGATCCAACTCTATGACACCTAAGGACAACGACAGACTCATAGTTTTTATCATCTCAATAATGACCGAATGAGATGATGCAAATGATGGGGCCCCCAGAATTGGGTAGGTTACCAATGATGTATTTCAAGTGCGTAGGGGGGGTTAATGCAAATGACGTTTGTGTATCGGTCAGTTTTGCTCTACCATAACCTTACAATGAAGTGTCCCAGAGGCAGATAGGACGTCACCAGTACCACATGGTGTACCTCTGGATCCTTGCACTTAGACCTGGTCAACAGAGATAACCAAAACCATACTCCCTGCCATCGAGTTGATGCCGACTCAGAGCAACCTGGTAGAAAAGAGTTAGGACTGCCCCTGAGGGATTTCAAGACGGTACCTCTTTACCCCGTGTTTCTCCCAGTTAACAGAGATAGAAATAGCCTTAACAGTAGCGACTGCGGGATGACAAACGACAGCCAAGGAACCCACCATGCTAGCTGACACTCGGCACTCATTAAAACAGGGATATGTGACCCAGCAGTCTCTACTCAGTAGATTCCTGAAGAAATCAGGAGCAACCCGTGGCCAGGGAGTGCACTGCAAAGTGGATCTAAGCAGACGTAGTTCACATGTAGCACTTGTTCTCCCTTTTGACCCATTTTAAGTTTGTTCTCGTGTTTAATATTTTCTACTTTCTTTTGAATTGCAGACTTTCTGTGTTTCTTTCGTTTGGGTTTTGCTGTGTTTGTTGGAAGGTGTTTGGGTTTGGGTTTGGGTACGGTTTTCTGTATCTGAAATGTGGGATAGGTAATCTATAAAGGTAGTCACTGGATTGATCGTTTCTGAGGGTCCTGGCAGGGGAAGTTGGGGCGAAATGCGGAGCTAGTAATAACAAAGACAAGAATGAAGACGACATTCTAACATGGGTTGTGGTGATGATTGCACAGCTCTTTTCAATGTAGCTAAACCATTGAATTGTATGTTTAATAACATATCCCTAAAACTGTTAAAAATTAAGGAATAAAACATGAACAAAATAGACCTCTACCCATGATTATCGCAAGATGATGGGAACACCCTGATGCCTGTCCGTGGGGGAATGGGCAAAGAAGCTTGGGTACATATATGCAGTGGCATACTAAGCATCACAAACAATCATGAAACTGTTTAACACGTCATGATGCTGAGTGAGACTCCTGGCGGTGTGGTGGTCATGCACTGGACTGCCATCTTGGAGATCTGAAGTTCAAAATCAGCAGGTGCTCCTGGGGGGAAAAGATGGGCCTTTCTTCTCCCATAAATAATGGCAGTGTCAGAAACCCACGGAGGTGTTCTTCCTGTCCTATAGGGTCACTGTGAGTTTTGATGGCATGGTTTATGCTGAGTGAAGTTAGCTACTCACATAAAGACGGATACAGTATGAGATCACTAAGATAAAAGACAAAGGTTAAGAAGAAGGCTTTCATATCCAACGAAATAGATTGGTGTCTACAGGGAAGGCAGGGAGGAGGAGAGGGGAGAGGGGAAGGAAAAGAGGGGGACATCACAAACAAACAACACAGACACAAACACCTCCCTCAGTCTCTTCCTGCCCATGGACCATTTGCTGGGAGGCTCATGTGCCGACCCACCCTGATACTACCTTTCCCTGAAAATTGCTCTTCTTAAAACTCCATTTGGTGACCTAGAAATCAATCAACAAAATGAAACTCGGTGGTAGAATGAATCTCTGCTTGGAGTGAGAGGGGAGATGCAGCGGAGAGAGGCTGGGGCAGCCCTGCTCTGTACCTCACTGCCGCTTTGTCCTCCTGCAGCTGTGCCGCCTTGGGACTCTGACCTTCCTTGGAAAGAGCCAGAGAAAGCCACCAAGTGTCAGGTGAGTAAGGCATTGCTTTCTGTGATGTGACTTCTCAGAGGTGGGACACATTCTCTCCTCCTTGGGGAGGTTCCTGGTAGCAGATATTGAGTGCATGTTGTGTGCTGGACATGGGCACTTGTGTTGTTCATCTTTCTTTCTCATCTTTCTTATCCACCCACCAATTCTGGCTCATGTCACTGCTGTAAGACAGAGTAGAACACCCTAGGGTTTCTGAAGTAGTCAGGACTGATGAGAGCAGACTGCCTGGTCTTTCCCCCATGGAACAGTGAACCCAGAAGGGCCAACAGGGCCCCTTTCTTAATTATCAGTTGAAGAAAATAATAAAAAACCAAACGCACTGCAATCCTATAGGACAGGATGGAACTGCCTAAGTAGTTTCCTGAGACTGTATAAGTCTTCACAGGAGTAGAAAGCCTCCTCTTTCTCCTGGGGAAATGGTAGTCTTAACCACTCCAAAATAAATAAATAATAAAACGACCCATGCTCCTACCATGCTTACAGGTCAGCTCCTTTTCTTGTCCTGGTCTCCGTTCTCGCATCTTCATAGGCCTATAAGAACACAGAGGAGGCCTGCTGGTGCAGTGGTTTATTCACTGGGCTGTTAACTGCAAGGCCAGAAGTTCGACTCCACCAACCACTCCGAGGGAGAAAGAGGAGGCTGTCTCTTTTCATAAAGATGTACGGCCTCAGCTAGCAAGTCGTTCTACTCTGTAGGGCAGTGGTTCTCAACCCTCCTCATGCCGCAACCCTTTGATACAATTCCTCATGTGGTGGGGACCCCCCCCCCAACCAGAAAATTATTTTCTTTTTTTTTCCAGAAAATTATTTTCATTGCTACTTCATCACTGTCATTTTGCTACTGTGATGAATCCGGCGACCCCTGTGAAAGGGTCGTTCAACTCACCAAAGGTGCGACCCACAGGTTGAGAACCGCTGCTGTAGGGTCACTCAGTCAGAATTGACCCGATGGTGGTTGGTTTTGATTTACAGGTGAGTCATTTTCCCCCCTTGAAATATTTGTTGTAGTTTGAGTGAAAGTTTACAGAGCAAATCATTTTCCTTCCGACAGTCCATACACATTTATTTCATGGCAGTGGTGGAGACTAGGTGAAATTTTGAATTGTGCTTTCTTAGTTATATCACCTGCAGTTCAAGTGATCACATCGTATTAAGTGATTATATCATATTCCATTGATGCGTAATACCTTGCCCATTTAAAAATACATGTATCATCTTGTGTTTCCAGGACAGATTTATACAACCTTTTAGATTCCCGTTAAATACTTTCTAAACCAGTTGTTCAGTGACATGAGTTACATTTGTCACAGAGTGTCAAGCATTCTCATTTTTCCCATTCTGGTTGGTCCCATTTAAAAAATATATATATATATTGATCCCAGTAGACTTTTAGAGAATTTCGGAATTTTACTGTTTTAGAACTCTGCAGTGACATTTTATCCCCCCTAGGTATAATAGATTCTTTTTCCTTCAAAGGCAATTCTGGCTTCGCTCTGTATTATTTGTGCTTGAAGGAGCACGTTTCATATCTGCCCCCTCAGATGCCTGTAAGCAGAACATCTGAAGCAGGGCATGGTGGATTCTCATCCCAGGTTCTCACAGAAAGAGGAGCTGTAGTTTCTCTACAGAAATGAGTGTGGGTTGTATTGTTATCAAAGTAGCCACACATGGCCTGGTAGACGTGTAAGTGCCCCACATGGGGCAGTTTGTACTGGGCTCAGCTAACAAACAACAGGCCCCACGGAAGAAAGGTCTGCCAGTCTACTTCCCTGAAGCTGACATCCAAGAAAACCCGAGGGAGCACTTCTGCTTAGCAACAGGTGACTGACTCAGCCTGGACTCCATGACATGGGGTTTGCTGCTCTGTCTGTTTACAGTGCTCGCTCGTCTTCCTCACTCCTTCCCTTCTGTGTTCTTGTTCTTCTCAGACACTGAGTGAGCGGAGGTAGGTGAGGCTTTTGCATTTTAAATGGGATGCAACAGGGATGCGAGCATCACCTACCTGCCCTACTTCCCCCAGGCATCTGCTCTGTCAGATGCCGAAGGTTGGACAGTTTGTTGTCGTCATTGGTTTCCACAGCTGACAGCCGTCGGTGCAGCAGAGCCTGGGCCTGGCCATTTTCACAGAAGTTGTCGCTGCTGCTCAGTTTGCCTGCTATGTTAGGAAGACAGGGCAGGTCCATTGTCGTAAAACAACATAGACCATGGTCGGAAGGGACACACAGAAGCCGTTCACTGCACCACAATCAGGAATGTGTTCATGACTTTTGTCCTTCTCAGTGTTCTGCTGTCAATGGAGGTTGGTTGTGGGATTGAAGTCGTGTGTGTTTGACGTTGCAGGAAGCAGTGACATTCACGGACGTGGCTGTGGTCTTCACCAAGGAGGAGCTCGGACTCCTGGACCCCGCCCAGAGAACCGTGTACCAAGACGTGATGCAGGAGAACTTCAAGAACCTAGTCTCTGTGGGTGAGGATGGTGCCCCGAGGAATTGAAACGCAGCCCCATGAGTCTATTCTCCATTGTTTAAGGCTTTGGGTCTTTTGAAATAGTTCTGTGACCTTGAGGACAAAAGTTTTACAATTGCTTGGACAGCAATGGGTGTGGGTGGGGAGGGGGCGGGGACCAGCCGCCACAACCAATAGGGTCCTAAGGAGTGATTGTGTAATTGAAAGGGAAAGTTAAAGGCACAACAGACAAGACATGCAATGCTCACCGCTTCCATGGAGTCTGGAATCAGAGCGAGCAAATGTATTCTCTTAACAGACTTACATAATCATGTTCATACACATAAAAGGAAAGGCATGTACTAGAGCTACGGTTCTCAACCTGTGGGTCGTGACCCCTTTGAGGATCAAACGACCCTTTCACAGGGGTCGCCTGATTCCTAACAGTAGCAAAATGACAGTGATGAAGTAGCAACAAAAATAATTTTCTGGTTTGGGGGTCACCACAACATGAGGAACTGTATGAAAGGTTTGTGGCATTAGGAAGGTTGAGAACCACTGCCCTAGAGCCATATGCATAAAAGGAAGGGGAGGTCCTAGGAGCATACACATGACAGGAAGTCGCATACATAACAGGATGTAGATCCTAGAGTTCAGATGGCGGCCTAGCCCTCGTGGCCTCTGAGCTGGCTTGACCTTAGGTGTCCCTGAGCTCCTTTGCAGGGGAACAATCTGATCCTTATTAGAGGAGGCTGGGCGGACAATGGGGTCTGATTGCTCCTAAGGACTAGCTTATAAAGCACATATTTACATTGGCATTGTTATGGGGGACAGTGTGGGGAATAGCTTTTAGTTAGGAGGATGACTGGAATTCATCGCCAACTCTGGCGTGAAGGCCTTCCTCCATCAGAGTCGGCCTCCCAGGCTCGTACTTAGGGGCGTAGAGAATTTGTCCACATGCATTCTCTTCCCGTTCTCAGTTTCCCACACAGCAGGGTAGGTTTTTCTAATCTTTCTCTCAGGCAAAAGTCTCCCTTTGAAATCAAGGGTCTCCCCCAGGAATGATTGTGCTCGGCGAAGGGAATTTGACAATCCTGGAGACATTTGAGGGAGCCCTGGTGCCTCAGGGCATTAAGCACCAATCTTCTAATTGCGTGGTCAGTAGCTTATACCAGGCTGCCGCTCCCTGGAAGTTGGATGAGGCTGGCTGTTCCTGTGAACACGGACAGCCCCCGAAACCCACAGGGGCTGTCCTACCCTGTCTTCTAAGGTCTCTGAGTTGGAATCGATTGGCAGGAGCTAGTGAGTAGTGAATAGTGCCTGGACGGTGCCAATCCTATGAAGCCCAGACATAGTCCCCACCGCGAAAACTAGACCAGACTATCAGTAGGGCTGAGGTTGGGAAACCCAATAGATGGGCAGCCATTGATAGGTCGTGAAATGAATTCTATTCATTGCATCATCATTTTTTTTTCTTCTTTTTAGTGAAGTAGTAGGTAAGGATGGTGAACACCCGCCTTCCTTACCATGAACTGCTCACCTTGCAGCAAACCCGTGACCGGGTGCAGCGAGGCGCTGTGAGTGAGACTCTTCTGTGGGAGGATGCAGCAAAAGCACGACTGCCAGAACTCACTTTACAGATCCACCAACCAAGTCATGACCACACACGTCTCGACACGTTGCTCAGATTGCCAGGGCTAGAACGTTGGGACCAAAACATGCTTTAGTCTGATGTTTTCGTCATGCGTTCCGCTGACATATGTACGTATCTTCCTTTTTGGTAGGCCGTCATCCCTTCAAAGCAGCGATGTTGTTCCAGCTGGAAGCAGAAGACCATCTTTGGATGATGGAGACAGACACCCAGAGAAGTAAGTATTCTGTGAGCACCGTCCACGTGGCTCGTCTCTCAGGTCCTAGCGGGTCTGCTTCCCACTCCTTCTTTGATTGGCACCCTTGCCAAGTCACCATCATCTCCTACCTGGTTCTCAACAACCTCCACTCTGGGCTCTGTGTTTCCTCCCTGGCCATCCAATCCTCTCGTCTCCACCTGGCAACCAGCTTGAGTCTTTGAAAAACAAGTCCAATCAGGCCAGCCCTTTGATCAAAACCCTCCAAGAAGTGCCTATTGCATCAAACCTTCCCAGACCGCTGTCAGGCCTGCCCCGGCCCAGTAAGTCTCTCCGTGGTCTCTGGTCCTTTCCCCCCTTCTCAACCATTTTGGCCATTCTAGTCCCCTTGGAGTTTTCCTCAGAGGCACTCCATTCTCCTTTTCCCCATGGCCTTAGAGGGCTCTCCTCTGTCTGCTCTCATGGTCTTCCCTTACGAAACCCTCCCAGACCCTCTCTTACTCCGCTCAAGTCTTTGCACAAATGCCAGCTCATCAGAGAGGCCTTCTGCGCTTGCCTTTCCCATTTGGACGGCCATCTCTTCTGTTTTCTCCATCCCCTGACTTTGCTTCAAAGGACGAACTCATTGTGAAGACCTATTCCACATAGCGTTCACCAAGGCAACCTTGCTGCGTAGTCAGTTCAGTGACCTGACTCTATTCCATGGGTTGGGCAGCCATTCTCACCCTCCTTTTCCAAATCGGCCCACCTCCCTTAAAGCAGTCTTGCTGTTCTCTTAGAAACTCCCTTCCCCCTTCCCTTGTACCCCGGGAACCACAAAGGGTCTTTGGTTTCTAAATGGGGTAAGTCCAAAAGTGTGGCCATGAAAGCATGCTGCTGTCTGGTGCTGTTCTAACTCTTAGCCACCCTTTGTACAGCAGAGCAACACAGCCCAGCCCTGTGCCTTCCCCTCACAATTATTGTTCTGTTTGAGCCCATTGTAGGAACTGCCTCTAGGGTCTTCCTTTTCAGTTCTGACCTTCAACTAAGCATTATGTTTTTTCAGAGATGAGATCAGATTTCCCAAGTCAATTCTTAAAGGACAGCCCTTGCTACCATCAAACTATGAAGAGGACCATTGTTCTAATTCTTCTGGGCCGATTTAGATAATCTAGGATAATCCCCCTGTGCCGACTTCCTGACTAACAGTCCAATTCATAACCCACTACACCACCAGGACTCCTTGAAAAAAGGGCTCACTCACTGCTTCGAGTCAATCTTGACTCTATAGGACAGAGCAGAACTGCTCTTGTGTGTTTCTGAGGCTGTAAATCTTTCGGAGAGCAGAGAGCACCATCTTTTGCCTGCAGAGTGGCTATTGGGTTTCCTCTGCTGCCTTATGCTTAGCTACAGCCCACTAGTCCCTGGAGAAGAACATCTTGCTTGGTAAAGTGGAGGGACAGCGACAAAAGAAGAAAGCTCTTGATGAGATGGATTGACCCAGTGGCTGCGGTAATGGGTTAAAACAAAAGAACCCCAGGACCAAATGGTGTTTCATTCTGTTGTACTTAAGGTCGCTATGAGTTGGGACTGACTCAAAGGCCTCTAACAACAATAATACTCTAGACTTCGTGGAAGAAAGAAAAGGCTGGTAAGCTTTTAATTGGTGTGACTGCTGGGGCTATGTGCCCTCCGGCCATCTGATTTCAGACTTGTAGCCCTCATCTGGAGCCTTGGTGTTGTATTGGGTTATCTATTGAGCTGCCAACCACAAAGTCAGCAGTGCAAAATCACCAGCTGCTCCTCGGAAGAAAGAGGAGGCTATTCTCTTGTACTCTTACAAGAATTTAGTCTTAGAAACCCACAAAGCAATTCTGCTCTACCCCACAGGGTGGCTGTGAGCCGTCATGGACTCGACAGCAGTGCATTTGATTTGCGCCCTCATCTTACCCTGCTTCCCCGAAAATAAGACAGTGTCATATTAATTTTTGCTCCCAAAAATGCGCGAGGTCTTATTTTCAGGGGATGTCTTATTTTTCCATGAAGAAGAATACGGTACACATTTATTGTTGAACCAAAAAAAAAAAAAAAAGGAAATGTATTACCTGTATACCGTACGGTAGTAGTTGTCATCACAAACCAGCATAACCAGACAAACTGTGACTCCTACAGTATTAAGAATTTCTTGTTACTACCATTGTTTCCATGTACAACAATCTGTGGTACATTTACTCATTTATTCAATGACAGTCATGTCATCATCTTCTGGAACATCATCATAAAAATCCAAACCCAGGTAAGCGATAATATTTGTGGCTCTCAATGGGTTTCAACGACAGTTAGTGGAGAGGAGCCTCTTGAGCCTCCCTCTTTGCTTCATCTGTATGAAAAACTGGAAAAGTGGTAGTCACCAGATGAATCTTCCCTTCGTTTTATAAAGCCTTGTAGCCAAAGGGGGAAATCCTGGCATTTCCAAACAAAGCATTTGCTTATCCTCCTCTCTGAACACTTTATTTTTATAGGTGGCAAGAATCCAAGTGTGATGGAGATGCTGCAAAAAGTTGCCTTGAAATGCTTTCTACATGAAGACCTAACCTGCTGGCATATCTGGGACCAAGTTGCGAGTGAACTGACCAGGAGCCAAGACTCCATGATACATTTTCAAGGGAAGAGTTCCTATTTGCTTCAAGGCGAGGTCCCTCAGGTCTCTGAAAACCAGGCTGTAATGAAGAAGAAAGGAGATCTCAACGATTCTATTGGTGAAGAGTTTTCAACTGTGAGAACGCAGAATTTTTTGAGAAACTCAGATCTGAGTGAGTCACAGAGTCAGAATAGAAGTAAGGAATTTAACATAGAAAGTAGCCTGCGAATCTGTGACCACATCGTGAAGAGAACAGCACTTAGCAACCACATTACAACTGGTGCCAAATCGCAACCTGACAACTGTGGTATTTGTGGTAAAATCTTTAGAGATAACCCCAGTCAGCAGTTACCTTCAGGGGGAAAGGGTGATATGCATTGTAAGTGTGGGAAAGGCTTCAGGAATAACTCAGTTCTTCCCATTCATCAAAGTGATCACCCTGGAATCAGGGGCTTCAGTCAGAGCGCGTGTCTTCAAACTCAACAGAAAATTCACCTGAGCGGGAAACTGAGCGAATGTCATGAATCTGATCAGTGCTTCAGCAAGAGTCCTCTTAGCACTCACCCTCCGAATCACACAGGAGAGAAAGCCTATAGATGTGACAGGTGTGGCAAAGGATTCCGTAGCAGCACAGGTCTCCTCCTTCACTACAGAATTCACACTGGAGAGAAACCTTTCCAATGTGGGGAATGTGGTAAATACTTTAGTGAGAGTTCGACGTTTCACTCCCACCAGAGGGTCCACACCAAAGAAAAGCCATACAAATGTGAAGAATGTGGTAAATGCTTTGGCTGGCGTGTTAATCTTCGTGTTCATCAGATGGTCCATAGGGGTGAGAAACCCTATAAATGTGAGGAGTGTGGTAAGGGCTTCACTCAGGCCGCACATTTTCACATACACCAGAGGGTCCATACTGGGGAGAAACCCTACAAATGTGATGTCTGTGGTAAGGAATTCCGTCATAATTCATCTTTAATATCCCATCGGACTGTGCACACTGGAGAGAAGCCCTATAAGTGTGAGACATGTGGGAAAGGCTATTCCCGCAAGAACGAACTCCACATTCATTATAGAGGCCACACGGGAGAGAAACCCTATAAATGTGGGGCGTGTGGGAAAGGCTTCCGTCAGGCTTCAAATCTTCAAGTTCATCAGAACGTCCACACTGGAGAGAAACGCTTCAAATGTGATACGTGTGGTAAGGGTTTCAGTGAGTCCTCCAAACTTCAAAACCATCAGAGAGTCCACACCGGGGAGAAACCTTACACATGTGATGCATGTGGTAAGAGCTTCAGTGATCGGTCAAACGTTAAACTACATCAAGTAATTCACACGGGAGAAAAACCGTATAAATGTGAGGAGTGCGGGAAGAGCTTTGCTTGGAAAGCGACTCTCCACAGTCATCAGAGAGTCCACACGGGAGAGAAACCCTATAAATGTGACGAGTGCGGGAAAGGCTTTCGTCAGGGTTCAAATCTTCGCGTCCACCTGAGTGTTCACACTGGAGAGAAACCGTTCAAATGTGATGTATGTGGCAAGGGCTTCATTCACCATTCCCGGCTTATACACCATCAGAAAGTCCACACTGAGAAGAATTTAGATGTGTGAAGTATGGCAGTGGCTTGGATTAGAATTTGCATCTTCCAGTTTTCCAGTAAGCCCTATAAAGTGACTGAGAGGGAGGAGTTTCTTCAGTTCCAGAATCCTTATAACACGTACTGTAAAATGACGACTCAACCATATTGGGACTGGACCTCCTTTCAGAGAGGACTGTTTTGCACTCTCCAGAGTTTATCCCCTGTGGAGTTTATGCCCACTTAAGAGGACCCTATAAGGCCAAGTAGAAGTGCTTTGTAGGGTTCCCTACGGTTTAATCTCTATGAAAACTTAGACTACCTCATCTTTCTCCCATGTAACAGCCCCGTGCTTGCCCCATGATACCACCAGGGCCCTTAGCTTCAGTGGATTCAATTCATATAAATTATTATCTATTAATATGAATGTATACATAAAGATGTGACAGGATCTTTACCAATATGCTATTTCTAGCAGCATTTGGAATAATGTCCTTTTCTTTACTTACATATTATACTTAAGTGACCATAATTTTTGCTAACGCTGTGAAGACTATGAAAAATGAATAAAATTACTGACTATAAATTTCCTATATTGAAGGACTTATTATAATGATGCTGTATCTCATCTATTATATCAGATTACAACCAGGCATCTCTCCCCAGAGATAGAGCTTTGATATGCTAAAGTAAATTTGAGCCTGCCATAGGTAAACATAAAGGGGTGTTCATCGGAACATTGTGTAGAAGAGTAAGCACTCAACCTAAACCAAGTTCGCTGCCAGCCAGCCCATGCCAACTTAAAGCAACCTTATAGGATAGAGTCGAAATGCTCCTGTGGGATTGGATTGCCAAGGTGTTTGATGATTCTTTTGCTCCGATGGAATATCAGGTAGGAGAAGCCAAATATGTAGACCAGGATGTTGGAAAATGTGCAGAACTTAATATCTGGCTTGTGGGGATCAGAGAACAGGAAGAGTGTGTAAGGATGATTCCTTTAGTCTCATCTATTTAGGAGCCTGGCAGGCTGGGTTTCTGGGGTGGAGGGAAGCCTTCACCCTTGTGAATTAAATATGGGTCCTAATCACATTCTCATAATGAATATTGTTCCTCACTCTATCCTCCCATAATAGTGCTACCTCTTACAAGCATATGGCTGATTGCTGTATGACCGGCAGCTTTATTTATAGGAGCAGACAAGTGCTATTGGCTAGAGGCTTTGAGGACAGCCACTCTCCCTTTACCTGCCCCAGCACTGGTGTTAGGTTACTCCTCCAATATACTCAGGGACCTTTAGGGTTAGGGTACAGCTCACTTTGTTATGTATGTGGTTACCTGTAACTGTGGGGTTTGCATGCCCTCTGAGTATATATAAGCCTTGGTTGGAAATATATTCTTTCTCTCTGCGTGAACCTGGCTCCTGAAGTCATAACTGCCCCAGAGGTGGGCAATACCATGCTTTACCTTGTCTGATGTCTCTCTGATTTACCTTTCAATTACACAACCGCCCCTTGGACTCATTTGATTATGGAAGCTGGTACCCCACATTGGCTAAAGACAGAACATGAGGATTTTGTTTGATTTCCTCCAAAACTAAAGGTACGGGAGACCTAGAAATCATCTATTTCTTGTTAACACTAAAGGGTGGGATTTGGATATATATACTTAATTATGTGTCTATATATTTAACTTTAAATTATATGTAATTATGTACTATATACTTTAATTTTAATATGAAATTAAATGTATTATATTCTTTTACATATATTTTTATTTTATCACTTTTTAATTGGGATATAATTCACTAGTTTGATCCTATTAATAAGTCTTGTACAATCATCATGGCAACCAATATTAGAACATTTTCTTCTTTCTTGTACTTGTTAGCCTTCCATTTCCCCCCAACCTCCCTTGCCATGTCCTTAAGTAATTATTAATCCAGTTACTAACTCCATAGATTTACCTGTCCTGGATTTCATATACAGAAAAAACAAGAAGATTAAGGAGCAGCAATAATTACAAAATAAAACAAAACTCAATGGAAAGAAAAGCGTAAAAGATTAGAAACTAGAACAAGTTTAAAATGAGTCAAAAGGGAGATCAAATGCAATGCTCTGAAAGCAAGGCCAATCACATCTGTAGATTATGGTCAAAGGCTTAATCCTCATGGAGACCCTGCAAATGGATTTTGGGTTTCCACTGTCACCCACAGACTCATGCAAACTGGGTGTGCAGTGTATGCATTTCTTTTTCTTTTTTTCAATTAGCAATAATCGCGCCTCGGGTAAACCTCACTGGCTACGATATTGCCACTGCACAAAGCTTATACGCATTTCTTTCAACAACGTATTTTGAAATAATTTGAAGCTAAACATATTACAATATGTATATATAAAATCTCATCTTTATCCTTTACCTAGATTCACTGGTATTGATGTTTTTACTCTATCTCCTAATTATATGACTATGGTTTTATATACACAGATAGAATGATACCTGTGTATATAAACTCCCCAAACTCAATACCATCAAGTCGATTCTGACTCATAGGAACCCTGTAGGACAGGGTAGAACTGTCCCTGTGGGTTTCTGAGACAATAACTTCACAGGAGTAGAAAGCCCCATCTTTCTTTCAATGAGAGGCTGGCAGTTTCAAAGTGCTGACCTTGCAGTTAGCAGCTCATAACCACTATGCCACCAGGACTCCTACTCATGCATATACATAGTATGTTTAGCATTTTGATGTTCTATAGACACCTTGCCTCTTGTACCCTAAGTACTTAAGTGTGTGTTCTAAGAACAAGGATATTCACATACAGCTACAGTGCAAGTGTAAATTTCTAGAAAATTTAATACTGACATAACATATACTACTCAAATTCTATCAATTTTCCTCATAATACAAAGAGGCTTCCAAAAATTGTGGGAAATTAAATGATCTTTTAATTTCCACTTCTCCAAGAACTTTTTGAAATCCCCGATGTATTTGTGCATTTTATTCTCATTCTCGATTATGTCACACTGTCAGCTATTCCTTCCTTCCTGGGCCTTGGCCAAACTTGTCACCAAGGGGGAAGCCATTTACTGACTCCATTGCCTGAAAAGACACAAAGCAAATAGCCCCTCCCAAACCTGGATCACAGACCCCGTTGTTGTCTTTCCACCGATTCTTCTTCACATCAGTTTTCTCTGTGAAGGTAAAAACGTTGTTCATCTGGCCTAATGTTAGAAACTTTGGGTAGGGAGAACATTTCTCGAGCTATAAAAGCTAGATGAAGTGTGTCATATACAGAATCGCCTTTCGTCTCCCCCTTCTGTTTTAATAATTGAGATTTTTGGGTGCCATGTGCCCATTCAAGAAGGGCCTGGCCTTGGGAGTTGTAAGGGATGCCTGTTGCATGATCAATATCAAAGTGCAAAACTGTTTGCTGGTGCAAGCAGAGCCATTGTCCACTTTCACATGTGTTGGAGTGCCCATCGCAGCGAACCAGGACAGTAAGCGGCTAGTAACATACTCTGTGGACTCACCAGTCATGGCTGACACCCAAAAAATCCTGAGAAAGACCTATAGCAACATGTATAGCTCCTGGGTATCCAAAAGAAGGTATGTGAGTGACATCCATTTGCCAGAGTGCATTTAACTCATCTCCACGGGGATTAACTCCATCAGGTCCCTCGCTAAGTGAGGTGTGCTGACAGTGAAGGCATGCTCTGAAGATTTGTCTGGCTTGGGCCCACGTTCGAGGATGCCTTTGCCTCAGGCAAGCAGCATTGTTGTGTAGTACATGATGTCCAGCCTTTGAGTGTGAGTAGCTAATGCCTTTTGAGTTAACTTATCTGCTTTGGAATTTCCCATAGAAATTGGCCCTGGCAACTGGGTGTGTGCCCAGTGAAAAACAGATGGAGATAGGACCTTATTTGAGTTTGTAGGGTGATGAATAACTTAACAATGTCAGAGTACTTATCTAACTTCAGCTTCAATGGAAGAACACTCTTGTACTGGATACACTGAATCACTGATTATATTGATAGGCTGCTGTACATCTTTGAATAGTAGAATGAGAGCGAACGTTTCTGTTTTCTGAGCTGAGGTGGAACAAGTTTGAAATGTTCAAGAAGAAGGGCCCCTAGTAGGGATGAGATTACTGGTTGGAGGGCTCACACAGGCTGTACAATTGAATTAATGTTTCTTAAATCTGTGAGCATCTGCCAATTACCAGATGTCTTGTTAATTACAAATACAGGGGAACTCCAATAGCTGAGAGTGCTTGACAACCTTCTCTTACTATTCAGCTCTTGAACTAACTCATGCAAAGTGTGCAATTTCCCTTTAATCAGGAACCACTCTTCCATCCATCTTGGGTCACTGGACTTCCAAGATGGTTGAATGGGTGCAGACCTTATAATAGCAGTTCTGATTAAGAGATGTGAATTTTCTAATCCATAACAGTTATATTTAGAAGCAACCTTGATTGGAGGAGGATCTCCTTGTTTTCTTTGTTATGTTTTTGAGACCTCCCCCTTATATGCTTTTGTTGAAATCAGAGGTAATGAGCATAACTACAGGCTTAATTAAACTGGATTGCCTTTCTGGCTTTATACCCCGTAAGTCAGTGGTTCTCAACCTTCCTAATGCCATGACACTTTCATACAGTTCCTTATGTTGTGGTGACCCCAACCATAAAATTATTTTCATTGCTACTTCATAACTGTAATTTTGCTACTGGTATGAGTTGTAATGTAAATATCTGGTATGCAGGATGTATTTTCATTGTTACTAGATGAATATAATTAAAGCATAGTGATGAATCACAAAACAATATGTCATTATATATTGTGAAATATTTATTTATAATTACAAATAAATGAAATTTTTTCTTGAAGCATGGTGTAGCATGGGTAAGTCTTCACACTGGGTACTCGTAGGTGGGCGTATCAGCATGTGGGCGGACCTTCCTGGAGACAGAGGAGTGGTGTCTCAGTTCCTAAGACCACCGGAAATATGTGTTTTCTGATGGTCTTAGGCTACCCCTGTGAATAGGTCGTTGGACCCCCAAGGGGGTCGCGACCCACAGGTTGAGAACCACTGCTATAGGTTTTTATGATTCTGCCATATTTTTTCCTGGTTAACTTCTCCAAGTGCCTCTCTGTTGGAATCAGGAGGCCATTTTGAAAATAGTGGCCACTCCTTAGACCATTGGTTGATGGCTCATGGTTGTGACCTTAGCTCCAGAATTCAAAATTTCTAAAAACTTTTCTTCCCCAATCTCTATTTCCATGTGGAAAGGCTTTTGCTTGACCATGATGTCATCCCCAAATACTCCATGACCTTTGAGGTCAGATTGCTCAGAAGCTCTTTCCCAAGTGGCTTTTATTTTACTGGTAGAAATGTAAGTAAGCAAAATTAATTGGCTTAAGCAATCTTCCTTCTTTATAGAACAAGGTACTTCAGATTTAACCACTGACCCAATTTTTGCTTCATAATCCTGATTGATAACTCCAGTAACAATCAGAACACCTTGAGAATGTAGGTTGAACCTTCCTAATAAACACCCTGTAGTTCTCTTTGGCAGTGGATCCCAAATA